TACATATGAATTCAAAAACATTTGTGCACTATATGCCCCTAGGTCGTACTGGTTCCGGTTGGTATCTTGTAGAAAACATGCAAGGGTTCGTGCCTTAGAAGCCAACACTTTAGGAGTTTCAATAATTCAATTGTAGATTGGGCAGTGGGCACTAGGCTTTTATGCCAGCCACCTAGCGGGTCGTTGGGTACCTTACATACATCGCAAATAATTCTTTTTGGCTGGGGCCTGGTGAAGTCTGCTTAGGGTTTCCGAAAGATTAAGGTTTTTTGCTATCAAACATCTGTGCAAAATGATCTGATCATCAAGACTACATTATTTGTATCTTCACTTACTTGGAAATGATGTAGCTTCAAGGAAGAACTGGAAGAATCCTGCTCCCACGAGACCGGTTGCAAAGACAATAATGTACCCGACAACTGTCATAATAATGTCGATACAAGTCATAACCCAGATCATTCTTAGAAGAAACATTAAGAGCCCATTTGTTATGTAGGACATGTTGTTATGCAGGACATGACATGATGTACGCGTATGGCATATATTGGAATGATACTGAGATCAATATCAATGGGCATAAATTGCAACTTTTTGTTGCACCCAAAAAGATGAAACAAGGTGGGATAGGGACTCTATATCTTAAAGATCACTCGTACAACTTTTTGATGCTTGTCAAGTCGTGTAACAAACACAGCTTAAGCAACTCCAACAGTCATTTAAAATATGATAACAAACCTGCAGCAGTCTTCACATTATAGAAGAGAGCAGCCACTAGAAACGCCAGAGAAATTTGTAAGTTTATATAGATGAAATAGAACACAAACTGGATGCTGTAGTCATTCAATGTGAAGAACTTTAACCCTGTAATGAATTGAAGGGCATTAGCTAAGTAAATTAAAATAATCAAAATAAAAAGTGTAATTCAGTGTTGGCTGATTTGTACCTACAACTGAGCCAAAGACCACGAAACAGAACATGTAAACCAAAGATATGGCAAGGAAGTATGCGTAAGAAATCATCCAATAAGGACCATTCCCAAGCCCATGCATTTTCATCATGATCCTTAAGTTTTGTTGTTTCTCATAAACCAGAGCTGTTAGTACAATCTGCAACAAGTATATTAATTTAGTCATAAGGACCCGTTTGTTATGCATGACCAGGACATAACATAACATGTTGTATTGTGCCTGGCATGCAGTGGAATGGGACTTGGACTCACGGCAATGGGACAAAAAGTGAAATTTTTTAGTCCAATTAAAAAAGGTGGAATAAGGTGAGATTTAGTCAAATATCAGGCAGATGAAAATAAATAGCAAAGGAATTTCTGAAGTCATGGGATATATGAGTTATGATCAGTGAATTTGGGGAAAAGAATGACCAGAAACAATATGCAAATTTAAAATTTTACTTACAGGGAATAGTTGCAAGATGACCCATGTAAAGAATAATGGTCCAAGGAGAGAAGAGAAGTCCAGCCTGCGTTCGGTTTCAGGTTTGGGCATCTCTTTTACGAAATCAAACAACATTTGTGTAGAAGGTCCAAGCAGAAGTTGTAGGAAAGCATTTGAAACCTATATGCATAAATTGGAAATGTTTTAATTTGAATTATATATAGGTATTATATATGAAACTATGGGAACAGCCAATAACATGATAAAACACTAATCAGAACCATAACGTTGACCAAAAAATTGAATAAGAATTAATTTAGAATGTATACCCAATTTATTGAGCGACGAACCCGGACAAGTCCTATGGGAATATTTCCTGAATCATTCTTGTAGGTAGAGTTGTACCATACAATCACGTCATAACTACTGACATTGGAATTCAAGAAATCATAGCCTGTGGAAATGTTTAAATAAAAAATAAGATCATTTACTTAGTAAGCAGATAAACTATGTGTGGACCGATCGACCGACCTGCTAATATCTCATTTATTTTCTTCTCAGAGTTCCCCCTCTTGTATCCGGCATACAGCTCATTGTTAATATCAGAAGACCTGTTGCGCCATAAATGTTGACCTTGGACACATCTAATTTCTACATTAGAAATACAATTAAGATCAGTAAGATAATAAGCTGTTAAGATCAGGAGGCGGTGGAAAAAAGAAATATCACAATCACATTAGGAAAGCAAAAGTCGAATCGAAATAATTCATACCTTTCTCCACTTTCGTTGACGCCACTGGGACCGAAATAGAAAAAGTGGAGTTGGCTTGGCACTGAGATTGAATATAGTAGACTGGAAGACTCGAGAAGAAAGCAGGCTCAAGAATGTTGGATACTGGAGTCTCTGAAGCTGACCCCTGATATGTTCCAAAGAAGTCATGTCCGAAAACAAAATGTTACTATAATATTCATTACATACATCTGAATGATTGTTCTTGCAAGATGTGATGATAGACAGTAACTAACCAATACAACGTCAGCCAGACCATTGGATGAGTTAAAATTCGATGAACTTGGGAACATATTTCTAGCCAAACCTGTCAAATTAGTATGCATCAAGCAGAAAATTATGTTGATCAGGATATGTATATACTGAACTTTGACATAATAAGGGGTATGCAAGAGATAGAGTTGACATACTCTCTCCAAGAGATCGGTTATTCCCTGTCATAAGTACAGTTGTAGGGCAGGAAGCTGTACTTGTGCAGGAGTCATTAGGAAAATCTCCAAATGAAAGCAAATGATCAGTTCTCACTGCTCGATATTGTGGAGCTGGTACTTGTAATAATGGAGGCCATTCAGGTGGACTTGGCATGGAACAGGTACCCACTTGGTCCAAATCTGAGTATTCAATCCCACACACTCTCTCGCATTCACCATTCCCATCTTGATCAATACAAGAGCAACCACATTTTAAGGAAGCTTTATCTAGTTCAATGTTCACTAAATTTTGTAATACTACAAGTAACAAACAGAGGAAGACTGGGAATAATATGAGCCTCATATTTGTCTTGAAATTCCTTCTCTGGTTTGAAAAAAAAAATGGAATAACAAGAATTTAAAACAAGCTTTTATAACGACATGAGATCAAAATGCATAAACACTAAAAAAATATCTAACCTGAAAGGTCAAATTTTTTCTGAACAAAGCGTTAGCCTGAGTCCGGAAACTAGAAGAACCGTCCGTTGAGTCCGCCATTGATGCACCTCTCTCTCTCTCTCTCTCTCTCTCTCTCTCTCTCTCTCTCACACACACACACACACACACACACACACACACTAACACATAGAACGCGGACCGTTAAGATTGGAAACTGGCATCAAAAGAAGAATTTGGAGAGAATCGATTTTGCTTGGACTGTTATATGGATGCCTTCCGTATGTATCATACTAGCTACAAATGTTACCGAGTCCAAGTAAATTGACGCTATTGTCCTTGTGCCGAATGTTGTGCTTAACTGACAACTATATCTTTTATCATTTCACCCCCTACAGTACCCGGAATTTACATTACGGTCCAAATCTCTGCTTTGACTTTTTAATGATACGCTTAACGCTTTTTATCCTCTTAGTATAAGAAAACATATTTATTTTCGAAACTTATATTCCACACCTTTTTATTTATTCTTTTACGCAAAAAGCTTGAAATTTCAAAACTAACGAGTCAGCAGGGGCGGACGCAGGAATAAACATCAGTAGGTGTACAAAAAAAAATTCCGATAAAATATAACAAAAAAAATTACGAGTGCAATAAACATAACAAACTATTGTAGACAAACTTCGTGAAGGGCAAATTGGTCTTTTCATGGGCAGGTTCTTGGTTTCGTGGAGTTTGTTTTCATGTTGGTTGTGGTTGTACAAAGTTTTGAAGGCATTATTACCAAAATTTCATTCCGAATTAATGCATTTTTATCGGGTCCATTGTTTAGAGCAAAATATAATATACAAATGCCAACAAATAAATGCATTTTTATAAGTTCGATACATTTTGCTTGACAAAACAAACGAATCAATTCAAAATGTAGAATGACACATAAATTGAGTTGACCTAAATTTTAATAATTATGAAGAAAAGCAGTTGTTTAGTTTGAAACATATGTAATGCGTATGTACACATATATGTTTGTAATGTGTATGGAAGAAATGTTAAAATAGGACCCCCACAGGAGGACGCTAACTCGCTAGGTAATTATTTTACGCCAAAAGTGAATATAAGACCGTTAAGTATACAACCTTACATATAGAACATATTAAAACTACGTAATTTTGATTAAATCTTAAATAAAAATAAGTGACTATTCAATGTCTACATTTTCTTCTAATATATCTCCAAAATATGTATTCTTCCTCATTCTCTCCATTATTTTCGGTAACTTCTTATCATATTATTGTATTATTGTTTTGTCGTTTTTTATGATGCAAAAGCTATTATGTCGAGAAGAAATTAAATAGAAAATTATGAAAAGCCATGGGTCACAAAGAATTTATATATAGCTTTGATATACCCAATTGTGTATGAAAATATATATTAAATATGAAGACGTTTGAAATGATTTTGAGTTAATGGAAAAAAAAAGTGAGTTTTTATTAAATGGTTGTCTAAGTTAATGAAAAAGTAAACTATTAATATAGGAATTTTAAACAACGAGGAAAATGATTTAATTGAGTTTTATTAAAACGGTTTAATTTTAACAAGTTATATTCACCAAGCCCTTACTTCACAGGTATGATTTTTTTGGCTAGAGATTTTTGGGGGCCCAATGACAATTATAAAAGTAAAGTGAATGTAAAAATAAAAAAATAAACTTGATGTGAGCAAGATTTGAACTCGAGCTCTTTTTCCAAAGGAATACTTTAACCTACGCCTTTGACCAACTTAGTCATCACAACTTTTGATTATATATGTGAACTGTAATAATAATATACTCGTTTCTTTATAGGTGCATAATAATAAAAAAAAGTTTTTTTTTATATTAATACGAAAAAATCTAGTAGTTGCCGGTGCAACCCCGTGCACCACTATAGATCCGCCCCTGCGAGTCAGAAAGGTTCTATCATATACTTATGAATATCTTTACAATCACTTATCAATGTGGAGTAACAACACGACCATAAAGTTGGGGTAATTCCGACACCAGGATTGTTGGTATTCCGTCGGCAATGATGTTACCAACGGATTTCCAACGGAATAAGGGCAGTCGTATTTTGGCTCGTGGGTAAATGGTACCCGATGTATTCACCGTTGGAATTTATGTCACTAATCCGATGTGATTTTCTTTTTTTAATTCCAGTTATTTTTTGGTCAATATACAGAAAAAACCTGATAATAAATATATGATAATAATCATATTCAAACACAAACTTAATTAAACAATACAATAAAAGTGTTGAATACACACAATTGTCCTATACATTTACCAAATGTTTACAAACATAAAACTAAGAAATAAACATTATCCCATACAAAAAACTAAAAAAATACCCGGTGTTTAAAAACATAAAACTAAAAACCATTTGTTGTATGTTAGACACTTCGTTATGCAATATTATCACCTAAAAATGGTAAGACAACCATATATAGTTAGTAAATATATTTAACTTTTAAACCATAATAGCAATGTATTTTAATTTATTATCAATTTAATTCTTAATAACAACATACTACTTAACTTTTAAATGAAATAGGGTTGTGCTTTAGTTTATTATAAGAATATGCTATCAATTTAATCCATAATAACAACGCACTACAAAACTTTTAAACCATAATAACAATATACTTTAGTTTATTGTAAGAACATGCTAATTTTTATCCATAGTAACAACATATTACTAACTTTTAAACTATATATAGCAATGGACTTTTTTTTATTATCAATATAATTCAAAATAACCAAATACTACTAACTTTTCACTACTAGAAAATGGACTTTCAGCGACGGAATCAATGACGGATTAAATCCCTAGCTAAATCAGCGAATGACTTCCGACAAATCAACAACAAAAAGTATATTAAGCGATAAATAACAAAACACAACTTTTAGAGAGGGATTAGCGATGGTTTAGCAAAGGATTAGCGACGATACTAATCCCTCGCTATTTTCTTCTCGAAAATAAACCCTAGGTCGGTCGCTATGTAATTTCCCGCTTGGCATTTTCATTCCCCTGATGTCTCCCTCCTAAAATGTTATATTCTTAACCTAATTTCATTTAGCAGACCTACTGCCAACATCGACTCCTGCCTCCCCCAACTCTACCGTCACTGATTCAGGCCACCTCCACCCCCAACCTGACTAATTCAGGCCACCTTCACTTCTAACATTGAATAACACTGTCTTTATTTTGTGATTTTACTTGTTTTTTTTTTCAGGGGACGAAGAAGGAAGGGCACGTCGTTAGATGCATCACAAGGTCTCAAGTTGTTAACTATCTGCAACCCAGTCTCTCTGTTTTTGTTTTTAGGTATTAATTTGATTTGAAATTGGTGAATGCTACAGATATATAGATGTGTATAATCATTCTATTAACCTAATATTTTTTTAGTTTCATGTTGAACCCAAAAGCGGTTGGACGAGCGACATGAATCTTTGGATTTTGTCCATTTTTTAGGTATTTCTTTACGCTTTCAACATTTGAATTTTTTTAGTGTCTTCTTCGTTTCTTTCTAGGCTTCATAGCTCTAGGGCTTATGTGCTTCAGGTAAGAAGGTTCAAGAACATCTTTGGAGTTGTCTTAGAAAAGTTTTTTTTCCATATTGATATTATTTTTAATCATTTTTTTTTCTGATATTCGAAGCAGAAGGTTAGAAGTAGTTCTTAATCCCTACATGTAATGCATTTTTGACTAAATTGACTCATTTGGATATTTTTGCATGCAAATAACACACTTACATACACGTCTTACTATTCGGGTTTCTTTTTCTTTTCCTCTGTCATTCGTACAGGAGAAAGAGGAGTTAGGAGTTGGGTATATTTTTAATGTACGATTGCTATAATAGAGGAAAGTCATTGTTCATTGTTGTTTTGATCATGGTATATAGATTGTTAGCATCATCTATTTTATATTAGTATATTTTATCATTTATTTTATCTTGGTTTACAAAAATTATCAACCGTGCTAGTTGTTTATTTAGTTGGTTATATTGGTGTGTAGTTGATTGCGTTAGTTCCATGAAAAACCTCCCATTGAATTAATTTTTATTTTGATTTGTCTTTGGTGCAGATTACTACAACTTCTTTGCTGTTAGAAGTTGTTGGTTACATAAGATTCCTTCCTAGTTAAACTGAGGCGATGTTACTTCCCTTTTTTTGTTCTTCTTTTATTTTTTTTTCCTAAACTACCCTGATGTGGCAAAAGAATTTTTTCCAGAAAGTACTTCGCGATTGATTATTATTAGTTTTTTTTATTCAAGTTGAAAGTAAGTTGCTAGTTTGTTCCCAAGTTGAAAATATGTTGTTATTATTCATTTTATATAGTTTTATTTCTAGTTGAAAGTATGTTGCTATTAATTGAATGATATGGCTTAATGTTTAATTAGGTGTAAACTTGGTTATTATTTATTTTAACTGTTTATAGTGTTTTTTTCACTTTGAAAGTATGTTGCTATTAACTGAATGATAAGGATTGATGTTTAATTAGGTGTAAACTTTCTTATTGTTGTTTTCTAGGTTATTATTGATTGTAATCGTGCTGAGATGAATAATCGTTGAAGTAGGAACATGACGAATTTGAGGCAAAAACCAAGAAATTGTCAAGATTACCCACCTAACTATACTTTAACACTTGTGTTTTTTGTAATTTGGTTTCGATACTTTGAAATTGAACATGAATTTTTATTTTTCTAATCAAATATTAATATTTATTTTGGTAGATGAATGTTAATGTTTTGATTTTGGGGTATAAATTTGAATATTATTTGTAAATTCTTGTTATGGAATAGTGACAGACTAAACACTACTAGGCTGTTGTTAAAACATCAAAACTGTTTATTTACTAATATTAGCAAAGGGCATCAACGTCGGATTAACGACGAAATCTAGAAGTTCCCTGAGTAATTTGTGTCATCGTTAATCCGTCGCTGATCCGTCTCTAAATCCATCGTTAACAATTAGTGACAAGGGTTTTTTCGACCGCTAATTCCGTCTTTAATCCGTCGCTGATAGCCTTTAGTGATGGATTAGCGACATAATTGTCCGTCATTGATACCTCAA